ATCCAAAATTGGTACCAAGTTAATTATGTGTTATCTTACCTAAGCCTTGTCAAAGATGGTTTTATCATGCAAATAAATCAATTCCAATCTTTTTATTTATTTACAAAACATAGTGATATAAAAAATTCTATCAAGAATATCAAGCAATCATGCAATAAATATTAAATCATACCATGTAAAAACTATCATGCAAATATATTATAAATCTACCAAATATCATGTAATAATATCATGCTTAGATCATGCTAAAATATTCATGCAAGAATGTCATACAAATATATTAATTATCATGCAATAATAACAATCATGTAAATATATAATATCATGCAAATATATTAATAATTATGTAATTAAATATAATCATGCAATTATACACACAATAAATATAAAAGCATCCAATTAGCTATCATTCAAATATAATATTAATCATGCAATAACATATAATATCATATTATATAATAAATATAAAATTATGCAATAATAATAATAAATAACTATGCAAATAAATATATTAATAACCATACAATCACACAAATAAATAAATTAATAATCATGCAATTAAATATATAATCATGAATTAAACATGCAATTAAATATATAATCATGCAATAAAAAATATTAATAATCAAGCAATCATACAAATAAATAAATTAATAATCATGCAATTAAACATGCAATCAAATATATAATCATGCTAATAATAATATTAATAATCATGCAAATAAACATGCAATTAAATATATAGTCATACAAATAAAAATATATAAACCATGCAAATAAATATGCAATTAAATATATAATCATGCAGATAGTAATGTATTAATCATGCAAATAAATATGCAATTAAATATATAATCATGCAAATAAATATATTAATAATCATGCAAATGTATTAATAAATAACACAAATAAATATATTAATCATGCAAACAAATATATTAGGCAAATAAATTATCTTGCAAAGATAATATTAGTCATACAAATTCATGCAAAAATAAATACCATGCAATAAATATAAAAATAAGAGTAAGCAATTAAATATTATAAAATTTTTTCAAAAAAAAAAAAATGAAAGCAAATATTATTTCAATGAGTTCCGACAAATTTTCACCTTTTAAAAATTGATGTTTCCTACTATAAATTTTAGCCTTTCTTCCAAAAACTTCAACTGGATCTTCTTACAAATTTTTTTCGCTTGATTGCTTCTTCCTTATTGATTCAAAATTTTATCCAAATTTTCTCTCTTTTCAATGATCTCTGTTTGATCATGAAGTGAATTACTGTCAGGCCCCTCTTTTGATATTAGATTCAGGGTTTTTATACAGGGATTGAATCCCTTTTGATTTAGAAGAAATTAATTCAACTGAATGTAGGATTTCTCTCCAAATTTTATTTTCTGTATAATCTTGCTTTTTTCAATATATTGAGCCCCAAGTCTTTTCAAAATTATTTAACCATTAAAGTTAAGATTTGAGATAGATTAAGAGTTGAATTGATTCCAAGATTTTTCATGCAAAATCCCACATTTTCTTTGTTATTTTTACTTTTTTTTTTATTTTTTTACCAATTGACTTTGACTTTTTAACTAAAAAAGCAAAAATTAAACAGAAAATTAAACTTAAAAAATTAAAATACAAATAAAATTTAAGGCTTAATCTTTAGACTCAAAATTAATTTTTCTAATTAAGGCTCAATTGCATAATCAAAATTAAAATTTGAAGCCCAATGCATTTCAAAAATCCCGGATAAAATAAGGTGTCTACAATAACACGTAAATAACATATGACATTTATAATATTGAAATATCATCTTTTCAACAAAGACTACGTTTTCTTAGGAACATTGTCTTTATTGAATTCTGAATTTTTTTTTCATGTTTTTAACAAAGACTATATTTTGTATCTTAGAATTGTCATCTTTGTTAAATTCTAAAAAATATTTTTTTTCATATTTTTAATAAAAACTACGTTTTTATCTTAGAAATGTTGGCTTTTCAATAAAGACTGTATTTTTATCTTAGAAACACTATCTTTTCAACAAAGATTGTATTTTTTTTGTAAAAACATTCTCTTTTCAACAAAGACTATGTTTTCTATCTTAAAAATGTCATTTTTTCAACAAAGTCATCTTTCCAATAAATATTGCATTTTTATCTTAGAAATTTCATTTTTTTAACGAAGACTGCATTTTTATCTTAGAAACATCATCCTTTTAATAACAATTGCATTTTTTATCTTAAAAATGTTGTCTTTGTTGAATTTTAAAAAAAATATTTTTATATTTTTAATAAAAACTACTCTTTCTATATTACAAGCATCATTTCTGTTGAATTTTGAAAAATATTTGTTCATGTTTTAAAAAAAAGCTATGTTTTCTATCTTAAAAAATATTATTTTCTATGATCAACAACATTTCATATGTTAAAAATGTAATGATTCTAAAACTATAAAAAATTTAAAATTCATTTTTTTCTACAATCAACTACGTTTTTCAAAAACGTTGTTTTTAGTATAATTAATTTTTTTATAACATATTATAACATATAACTATTTTTCTAATATAACAACATTGTGTAGATGAAAAAGCCTAGCCTTACATGTCAAAATGGGTCTCCATTTATCATGTAATTACATTGATTTTCAAGGGTAAAATAAACTATAAAAAGTTATTATTAAAGGCAAAAGTGAAATAAATTTTACATTTCGTTAGGAATCTTTAAAAACTTTAAGGAGAGGTGGGTTTATAATTCAAGGTTATCACCCTTCTTTTTTGACATTGTTGAAAATATTAGAAAACCTCAGGAATCAAATTCCATAAACCAAACTAAAGAATCAAATTACGAAAAGTAAGATTCCGACTAGTAATCTAACTTTCTCTCGAACCAAACACCCTCCTAGGGGAATCTTATAGAGAAAGTGAGAACAAAAATTAAAAAAAAAAAAGAACAAGAAAAAAAAAAAGAAAAAATTTTATTTTATTTAATTTTCACATATCTTAATTGAGCAACATAGCAAACTTTCAGCTATTTTATTGATGTCACATGAAATTTTATTTTAGTTAACTTTTTCATCCAAATAAAGACTTAATTGAATGCAAATAAATATTAAAGGGGTTAATTGATTGTAATAAAAAAAGCTTAGATTATTTTTTAATTATAAATCAAAAGCCTTTCATACCCTTTAACCCTTTTTTATCTTTTCATTCATCTTTCTTCCAATGAAAACAACTTGTCCTTTTTAGGTGACCTGGGGAACCACCTTGAGCACCTTTGATGGGACCTTATATCTAAATCATGAAAAGTTTTGATAAACAATTGAAATTTTATTTTTTTACTTATTGAAAATTTCTCAATTATAATAGCTCATTGTGTTTGAAAAAGTACACCATTTGTTAGAACATTTTCAATAATAATATATCACATCAATTACATATAATGGTAAAAAATTATGTTCTTTTAAAAGACATAATTATTTGCTAAAAGTTGTGTTTGAAAATTTGTTTTTATTTAAATAGACACATATTTGAACTATTATGTCTATATAAATAGATATATATTTAGATGGTTATGTCCATACAAAGAGATGTCTATTTTATTATAAATAGATCTTTGATTTTAAAAAGTAGAAGAATTTTTTAGATATAGCAATTTATGTTTTAAATTTTCCCTCCATTGTTCAAATAAATTTCAAATTACTTCCATAAAATTTTGCTGCAAAAATTCTTTATAGAAGATTGATAGTCCTATTATATGCTGGTGAATGCTTAGTGGATTGATTTCATCAATGTAAATGTAGTCAATCATCAGACTTCATTGTATCTTTGAGATTATCATCAGTAACTCTTTTGCATACCAATTAACCAAATGATGGAGGCGAATAAAATCTTAGGGAAAGTGGCATAGTTACATGCTTTGAAGCCTTTTGTTAATTTCTCGATTTTTTCCAACCCTAGGTTTTAACAATCTTAAGGTTTTAATTTGCCATTTTATGAGAAATTCTAGTTAAAAGCAGCAGCTATGGTAGACAAAGATAAATTCATTTAGGAATTGAAACAAAAGTTATATCTAGGCTTGATTTATTTGGAACTTCACATAATTTACAAGATGTGTTTTGCATTAATTTCTTGTATCTTTTTTGTTTAGTGGAAGAACTCCACACATATCAATGTTATTTTATTTTTGATTGAATTTGGAGTCTGATTAAAAAAAGTTGTATTTCAATAGAATTCCAAAAGTTTCATTGAAATGGATTTGAAATTTTGGCTAGTACACGATAGTGTAAAATCAATGATGGATTTTTTTTTATATTAATAGATGAAATAGGAATATGATGAAGATATCATGAAGCATGCAAAAATTAGAAAGGCTATCCATAAATTCTTCCTACATCATCTGGTTATTACATGGGTACTTAAGTACTACGTAAGTTGATGGTCTTTTTGCATTTTTTCATAGTATATCTTCTACAAAAATGCATGGGAGACATTTTGTTCTTAAGAAGATAGTCACAGACTTATAAGTGGTAAAGTTTGTATGATACCACGATCATGTGGATGGAGATACTTGGTTTTTGTAAGCCATGGTGTAGTCTCCAAATATTCAACCTGTAAGCAGTAGACCATCTCAAGAACTTGGGTAAAGCTTTTGGCTTTTATGCAAGAAATGAATCCAAAATTAGTCTCCATATAGAACAAGAAAATGTCAAAGTACAATATATATATTGAAATCCCTTATAATTTGTAAAATTTAATGTTACTATTACTAACAAAAATTTGGCCAATTATTGAATGGGTTGTTAATTAAAAGAAAAGGCAAGTCATTAAAAGCATTGAGACAATTGTTGACTACAAGCAATTTGAAGGAAGCCCACCAATGTTTTATTAACCATGTTTATGAATTTGAAAAATTCCATTTTGAAAAGTTATAAAGAAGATGACATAGTTTACCATTAAAACAATTTAAATAAAGTTTATTTTAATGCTATCAAAGATTATAAAGATATATGGCATCTATGTACATAGAATTAAAATGGAAAATGAACAAGTCTCCATATGTTTATATAATTTCATGGCAAGGATGTGTACTGATTATGCACCATTAATGTATGGGCTAGATATAATGGTGTTGGTTTTTCAAAGTTATAAGTATTGGATTGAAAATTCAATGAGTTAACTGCTGTTAATTTGCTATGAGTCTTTCATGAATAATAACCTTGATAAGTGTAGAGGGGGTTAGCATTGTTACTTTCTATGATGGGCAATTTTTTACTCATGACAATAAGAATGAATAATAATGTCCATAACAAAGGGTTTATATATGTATGATATTTTATAATCATTAATAAGCTTATTAATGGTCTTCTAATACGATTATGTTCTAAAAGGATATACAAAACATTTGTGTATATGTATGTGATTTGTTGACAAAAAGTCATATTATTTGAGTATATATCCACAATAAGTTTTAAGTTTTGAATTGACTATGATAAAAAGCTATTAAAATAGCAAAATGATTGTCTTATTCTACCAAGGGAATTGAGGCCTCTTTACAATAATTTACATTATGAAAAAGACTATATGATGTAGTCACACATTTGGTGGCAATTAAAGGTGTAATCAAGTCGAGTCAAGCCGATACAATGAAAAGCTTGAGCTCGACTCCCAACTTATAGCTCGATACTCGACTCAAACTCGATCGAGTTTTATTTTTTAGCTCTCGATTCGTGATCGAAATCGAGCTACTCGAGCTCGCTCGATTAAGCTCGATTAATATATAAAAATAAGCTCGATTCATTTACTTGATAAAAATTCGATTATTTGTGCTCGAGCTTAAACTCGAATTCGAGATATTTTATTAATTAAAATAATAAAAATATATTTAAATATAAAATCTCGATTAGGCTCGTAAGCTACTCGAGCCAGGTATAAGAATACTCGAACTCGATCTGATCGATGAGCCAAGCTACTCGAGCTCGACTCGATAATAATCAAACCTGAATAGCTTATGAATACTAATATATCATTTACACCAGTAATGACAATAGCATTAATTTCTTGGGATATCAAAAAATATATAAAATGGACAAATTTGAAATTATCATGACAAGAATAAAAATAAAGTAATCAATATGAACTAAAAAAATTTATGAAAATTGTATAAAGGATATCCATAATAGTTGAATTATTATAGAAAAAAGCATTTTTTAAAGAATGGATATACATACATGGTGAAGGTGTTGATCTTATAAACCTTCAAGATGCAAATAGTATAAAAGTTTCACCATGTCATATGAAAAATTAACATAGCTATGTTGAAATTTTAAGGATGAAGTTTAAACCTATAATACGAAATCACCCATGATGAAAACTCAACTCAACACTCAGTATAACATCAACTCTTAAGTTCAATGAGCCAAAGTACATCATCTGTATGTGACTGCAAGCACTATAATGTTGTACTTTCATCCCAAGTAAAGTGTTTGGTACGCATAATGATAAAAGAATGATGAGGTTATATTCTTAATAAACCCATAACATAAATATGTTAGAGTGTTATAGTTATGTGAACACTCATGATGGGAGCTACTTATGTGAATGTAAAGTATGGTCACTTCTAGAAGTTTAAGGGTTTGACTCTAACCACACTCGTAGAAAGAGGATATAGATACATGAAAAAAATAATGTTCCCAACTACCGAGTATTCGTAAGATGTTGAAATCTTTGTGTAAGATGAGTTTTGTTAATCAAATGGAATTGCTGATTCAAAGTATAGTCTACCATGCAATTTCAGTTAACTTTAATTTATTTTCACCGAGTGAAGGTTCAAATAATAAAATACTTTCATTTATGCAATTGATTTCCTAGATTATCATAAATATAGATTATATTAAAAATGGTGGGGGATTGTTGGAATATTTTCAATAATAATAAATCACATTAATTACATGTGATAGTAAAAAATAATGTTTATTTAAAAGACATGATTATTTGTTAAGAGTTGTGTTTGAAAATTTGTGTATATCTAAATAGACATATATTTGAACTATTATATCTATACAAATAGACGTTTATTTGTATGGTCATATTTGTACAAAGAGACATCTATTTTATTATAAATAGATTTCTAATTTTGAAAAGTAGAACAAAATTTCATATATAGATATTTATGTTAAATTTTCCTCTATTGTTCAAATAAATTTTAGATTACTTCCATAATATGTTGCTGTATAAATTTTTATAGAAGACTGACAATCCTGTTATATACTGGTGAATATTTAATATTGATTTCATCAATGCAAAATATAATCAATCATTGTGTTTTGTTGTATACCAATTAATCAAACGACGGGATGAATAAAACCTTAAAAAAAAGATACTATTACATGCTTGGATACCTTTCCTCAATTTCTCAAATTTTCCGAACCCCAGCCTCTAACACCATTTTGTTGGCTCATTTCAACGAGATTAATTATAAGAACAAGCCAAGCCATATTTTGTTAGGAATTTGTAAAGTCTTGGTTTGATTTTCTTACAGCAACCAAAAAAATTAGAAGTTATTTTATTCATTTTTGACCTGCTAGCCATTCTGAAAGACCCGTGGCGCCAGTTGCCTCTGCCGGTCCGCCCCTCTTTGTTGAGAATATTATGGACAACATATGCTACGTTTTATTTGATGATGGTTGACAAGTGAAACAATCGGCAAACAGGCAAGGCAAGAAAATTAGGTTTTTTTGTTAATTTTTACTTTTTTTATTTGTTTTATTTAGATTAATTATTAATTATTAACTTTTACTTCTTATTAAAAAAAAAAAAACGTTTATCAAAAGTAATCATACCTTTCGCCAAAACTACATTTGTAGTCTGGTTTGGGGATTAATTACCATCATATTCAGGCAGGAATTTCTTTACTTCAAATTTTTTTACTGAAATTTATCTTAAATATTGTTAAATAGAGACCTTTGGTTGTTTTTTTTCCAGAGCAGAAGAAACTAACCACATTCTGGCTTTAGATTAGGTCAAGGTAAACGTTGATGACATAAGACAAAATGAATGTCAGTACCAATATTTATCTTCCACTCCTGTAATTTTCCCACTCCTTCACAAGGTAGTCCTATTGCCCCATTATTCCAGCTAATTAGCAACAATTTGTTTCAAAAGTATAATTAGAAATAATATTTTGACCTTTTGACTTTTTTTTTTCAAAATTCTTAACCTTTTTAAAATTATTTTTCTTCTTTTTTTTTTTTTAAATTGAAAAACCTTTTTCATTTGAAGTTTGAAGGGTTTTTTAAACCTATAATTTGAATTAATACTATAAAAATTAAGTCTTTTTTATTTTTTATTTTTTACATAAAGTCCACGGTTTCAAGACAATGGGAGTAATCAGACAATATAATATATTCAATTAATCACGTGTCTACTGATAATTGGAAAGATTAAATGGAATGGAAGTATCAGAAAATGAATATTATATTTATATATCAAAGTTATGTACTCATGTTTCCTTCTCATGCGCTGTATTTATTTACTTCTTCACTAGTTTTCAAGTCTGTCATCCTATATATAAACAGTGACATATTGTGTTGTGGGAAACAGCGTTCAAGAGCAGAAGAGAGCTCCAACATGTGGTGGCTTAAGAAATCCATTAATTTCCATCTTCTCATCATCTGTCTGTTGATGGTTTTTTTGTTGCTAGATGGGGTGATGGTGACTCAGACTCTAAACAACATCACCACCCCTGTTAAACTCGGTGTGGTTCTTGACTTGGATTCCTTGGTTGGGAAGATCGGGTTGAGTTGCATCAACATGGCTCTCTCAGACTTTTATGCCACTCATCCTCACTATAAAACCAGGGTGGTCTTCACCACCAAGGACTCCAAGGAAGACGTTGTTTCGGCCGCAGCTGCTGGTTCGTTCTCTCTCTCTCTCTCTCTTTATATATATGTATAGAGGTGAAGAGCGGCAGGCAGGGGCCATCGCCTCTCAAAATTTTTTTTACAAAAATTAAAAATAAATAAATTACTCAATCTCTTATATTAAAATAAGATATGTCATATCTAATATTTTAAAAATAATAGATGTAAATCATAAATTTGAGATAATCTCAATAAAAAATTATCGGTTGAATTCAAACTTAAAACTTTTACATTGAAATGAATAAATTTTATCAATTGAGTTAATCTCTCGTTGATCCCAAAAAAATTCTTTTACATCGTTCTAAATCAATTACCGAGTCTACTAAAACTAATATGCGTTTTCCCTTTATTCAATTCACTGTTTGACCCTCTTTTATTAGGCGGCTTCGTCTCTCTATCTATATATTTGTCAAGGCTGTTACATTTCTCTTTGGAGGCTAATTAAATCAATTACAGTATTAATTTAATGAAGTTTAATAACAATATATATAGTATATTTTTCGAGAAACAATTTTAGAAATATTTAATGATCAAGCAACAAAGCAATTTTTAAAAGCACATCTGCATATAGATCGAGTAAAAGGGAGTGATTTGGTCTTCTTATAGAAAGACTCTTCTTAATTATTTACAGTTAATAGACTTCTTATATATATATATATATATATATATATATATATTTAATGAAAGACTAATTAAAATCCTAGCTGGAGCTAGAAAGTGAACACCATTTCAGCTGTATTTTAATTCATACTATATATTCCTATCATTTTTGGCCACATACAAATGCAAGGATAAATGTTTGGATTAGTGGAGTACCCCTAAAATTAGGAAATTAAAATATGGCTGTATAGAAGGCAATTGTAATAAATTATTTATATATAAGAACATTTGCCCACTTTGCTCAACACACAACTATATATATATATATATATATACAAAAACTCCAATGTTTGACTTGAAAGCTGAAGGGTAATTAAGAAAATATATATTTGTACTAGATTTGATTTTTCTTGTCACTATCTCAGTCTGACCAAGTCTTCAGAATCGTTCTATGTTTAGTTTTTAATGTTTAATTCTTTCTGTTGTAGAGTGTAATGTTAATATTAGGTTTGAAAATTTAGTTTAGAATTTTGCCAATTTGCTTGGTGAACAGCTCTGGACTTGATACGAAACGTACAAGTGCAAGCAATCATAGGGCCAAGAAGTTCCATGCAGGCCAACTTTGTTATCAATCTTGGAAACAAATCTCAGGTTCCCATTGTATCATTCTCTGCAACAAGTCCTTCTCTGACTTCCCTTCAGAGTTCATACTTTTTTCTAGCTGCACAAAGCAGCTCATTTCAAGTGAAAGCGATAAGTGCCATTGTCCAGGCTTTTGAATGGGGAGAAGCTGTACCCATCTACATAGACAACCAGTTTGGAGAGAGCCTCATACCATACTTGACGGATGCCTTACAGGGGATCAACATTCGCGTCCCTTATCTGAGTGTCATTCCTGCGTCAGCTACAGATGACCAAATTGCTGAAGAACTTTACAAGCTAATGACCATGCAAACAAGAGTGTTCATTGTGCACATGACAATGCCTCTTGGCTCTCAGGTTTTGGCCAAAGCAAAAGAGATTGGAATGATGAGTGAAGGGTATGTTTGGATCATGACTGATTCCATGACTACTTGGTGGAGATCGATAGATGCCTCAGCCGTTGATTCCTTGCAAGGGGTTTTAGGTGTAAGGTCTTATGTTCCCACATCAGAAAAGCTTGAAAGTTTTGAGGTTCGCTGGAAAAGGAAATTCCAGCAAGACAATCCTAATGCTACTAATGCTGAATTGAACATGCTTGGACTATGGGCTTATGATGCAACTTTTGCACTGGCAATGGCAATCGAGAAAGCTGGCACTGCGAACCTCCGCTTCAATAAAACAAATATTTCCAGCAGTGGAGCTACAGACCTTGAAACATTGGGAGTCTCACAAAACGGTCCGCGACTTATCCAAGAACTATCAAACACTAAATTCAGAGGTCTTTCAGGAGATTTTCATTTTGTTAATGGACAGTTACAACCATCAGTGCTTCAGATAGTTAACGTAAATGGAAATGGGGAAAGAAGGGTAGGATTTTGGACAACCAAAAATGGACTTGTAAGAAAATTGGATTTGACAAACATAAGCACAAATTCTACTTCTAAGCCAAAACTTGGACCCATTATATGGCCAGGGGATACTACCATGGTTCCCAGAGGTTGGGAGATCCCAACAAATGGGAAGAAATTGAGAATTGGGGTTCCCGTAAAGGATGGTTTTACTGAATTTCTTGAGGTAGTGTGGGATCCTATCTCTCAGAAAGCAATATCAATTAAAGGGTACTGCATTGATGTTTTCGATGCAGTAATGGCTAAAATGCCTTATGCCGTTCCTTATGAGTATGTTCCATTCGCAACGCCTGAAGGAAAATCTGCTGGTTCTTACAATGACTTAATGGATCAAGTGTACTATGGGGTAAGTCTCCGCATTTAAGCCTTCTCTGTATATTGGTTACTGCTATTATTCACTGGCATGAATTTAATGAATAGCTTTAATTTGTTTTTTCCCATTTGGCAATTGGCTATTATGAACAGAATTATGACGCTGTGGTCGGAGATACAACTATTGTAGCAAACAGGTCATTGTTTGTGGACTTCACATTGCCATACACGGAATCTGGTGTGTCCATGGTCGTCCCAATTAGGGGCAACAAGAAGAAGAATGCATGGGTTTTTTTGAAGCCTTTGACATGGGACCTCTGGGTAACGAGCGGTTGCTTCTTCGTCTTCATCGGATTTGTCGTTTGGATTCTCGAACATAGAATAAACGAAGATTTCCGTGGACCCCCTGCACATCAAGTCGGCACCAGCTTCTGGTTCTCCTTCTCAACCATGGTGTTTGCCCATCGTAATGATCCTTTCAACTTTTCAAACTACAAATATGTCAAATTTTCGATACAACAATAGAACCCCATAAATATATATTTTTTTCTTGAATTGAATAATATCACAGGGGAGACAGTGGTGAGCAATTTGGCTAGATTTGTGGTAATCATATGGTGCTTCGTCGTTCTCGTTCTCACCCAAAGTTACACGGCTAGTTTAACGTCACTTTTAACAGTAGAGCAGCTCCAGCCCACCGTAACTGATATAAATGAGCTCTTGAAGAGAAGGGAGAGTGTTGGTTTGCCGGATGGCTCGTTCGTTGAGGGGATCTTGTTGGGGTTGAAATTCGATAAATTCCAGCTCAAGAAATACAAGTCTCCAGAAGAACTTTATGAACTTTTTGCCAAGGGAAGTACCAATGGCGGTATTTCTGCTGCTCTGGATGAAGTTCCTTATATTAACCTATTTCTTGCAAAACACTGTGGCAAATATACTAAATTAGAAACAACATTTAGAACCGATGGCTTTGGCTTCGTGAGTTCTCTTCTCGGCTGTCAATCTCTCTCTCTCCACCTTCTTCCATCTTCCATATGATATGTTTAATATTTCATGCTCACTTTTTTATTTCCATTTTCTTAGGTCTTCCCTAAAGGTTCCCCTCTTGTAGCAGATGTTTCAAGGGCAATCTTAAATGTTACTCAACGTGACAAAATGGAACAAATTCAAAACTCATGGCTCAAGAACGAAATTGTTTGTCCTGACTTCGACCCCTCTGTTTCTTCAAAAAGTCTTGGTCTTGAGAGCTTTTGGGGCCTGTTCCTCATTGCTGGGTCTGCATCCATATCAGCGCTCATCATTTTTGCAGCAATGTTCTTATATGACCAAAGACATGTCTTGTTTCAGTTCCATTCTGAAACTTCAATGTGGAAAAGAATTCGAATTATTTCAGGAATCTTTGACCAGAAAGACCTGAGCTCCCATACTTTTAGAAAAAATGAACTCAGGGATGCAAGCAGCACCTGTAGTGTTCACAGTATAGGTGTTGTTGGAAGCTCCCCGAACACTAACTGCCCGCCAAGTCCATCAAGCTTGTCAAACCGGAGAGACTCTTTAGACTTTGTTTTGGTAGAAAAATAAATAATAGAATAGAAATAATAGAAAGGAAAATTTGATTTTGAAGTAACGAAGAATACTTTCTAATTAAAAGCAATTATAATTTTAGGATACAATAAAACTTCGAACTTTCTAATTAAAAGTAATAAAAATAGTTATATTAAAATATTTATTTATAATAAATGAATATATATAAAATTTTATTCAAATGGTTATGATTATTTATACAATCATGACTTATATGAACAATCATCTATTTATATTGAAATAGTTATAACTATTTGTCATATAATAATTGTTTCTATTCAAATATAATTATTCAAAATATGAATAAAATTAAAAATTAAGTTTATTCATCAATAATTAAGTCTTTCTATCTAATGATGCATCACATTCTAAACTACCAACAATCTCCCATTAATTTGGAATGTTAGTGCTTAATTTTTAATCTTTCACACAAATAAATATTATAAACATAAGAAGGTATGTATTGATTTAAATCTTCAATTAGTGTATGTACCCTAGAATTCTAACAAAGTTGATGGTGTCTACAATTTAAATTTCAACTCCTAGTGTTAAAATTGAAGATGTAACATATAATATTTATTTTTTTGTCAAAGGTTTATAACTAATTTAGCACTATTATGACTATGTACTGATCCTATTCATAAACATTTATAAGAGAGACCCAAAATTTTTTTGTTGAAATAATACTACTTCTATGCTTATACAGGTGGGGTTTCCATGATATCTCTATTGGTTTAGACATTTAAATAATAAAACTCCATTAACAGCACAAGAACTCATCCTCCCCACATAATGGACTACACTAGTTTCTAAAATTTGAATGGGTTTTACTAGTATTTAACAGATATATAATAATAACTTATTTTTACCCATTCAACTTTGTAATTAAAAGTTACTAATTCAAAGTTCGGTTCTCATTATTTGTGTCTAATAGTAAGGGTTTAAACCCATTCTACTTGTAGTACTACTAATCAAATATCTTAGAATTCAATTTTGTTTTATAGTAATTACCACCACTTAAGATGAAATCTCTAATATAATCATTTCATAGGTTAATATGTCTAAACTTGTTATTTTGTATATAATTTATATGCTCTAGACATTGTTGCATTATTATTGTCATTTTAAGAAATATTTAGTATTGGTTGTGACCACAACTCTATACTTATAAATATATCTTTAATACAATTATACTTTTAGTAAAATTGGATAAACTTAATGAATAAAGCAAGGCATTTTTTCCTTTCAAGATATTTAAGGACTTTTTTATAATTTTACTTTAATAAGTTGTACTAAACTTATTAGCTTACAACACTAAAATTATACTAAAATTACAACACTAAACTTATTTGCTCATAAAATTATACTAAAATCTTATAATATTATGGTGGTAATATTTATTTTTTTATTCTTATCACCCCCACAATGTGCAAATATGCATTCTTTTATTAAAGAATGTCCCATTCAATTATCAATATATCATATATACTTAATCAAATTACCATTTCATTTATCTTTTCATATTTGAAGGTTTTTTTTTTTTTTTTTTAGTTTAAGTAAGAGGTTTCCAAATCCACCTTTATTTAAAAATTACTAGCAAATATTCTATATCATAAGTTTTTTATGAAAATTTCAAAACTTTTATATGTTAACTCAATATAATAGTATTTATCAATAAATATAATGTCAAATATAACCACCCTCAAAATTATTTTCTTTTAGTAAATTCATGCTTCTATAGTCTCCTTTTGAGACTTTCATACTAACTCATGTATACTTGTAAAATTATTTTATCATGGACACTAAAGTGATATCCACCATGGTTTATGTCATTACGAACAACCTTAATTTCATGTATAACAATACAATATTATATATAAAATTTGTGTCCAAATTATCGAATAGTTGAAACTTTCCACCCAATAAATAGAAAATTTTTTAACTAGTTACAAAAAATTATATAATTTCTCCAATTGAATTGAAGTTATCTTAGATAATATGTTTATTTCTAGTATAACATAAACAAAATCAACAAGAAATAATAGTTGAAACAACATTATATAAATGAGATAATATGAATCATGCATTATTCTCTTGTTAATAAAATGCAATCATGGAATATGACCATAAAATATGATTTTATGATAAGAACATACATACTTGCTTTCTTTTTCGAAAAGATTTATAAATACACAAATTCTTTTATACCTTAAAATATAACAAGGCTATAAAAGATTCATAATCAAAGCTAGCAAGTACTCCGTATCCATTTTATGCTTATGACCATTCAATACCTTGATCAAGAAGATCCACATATGATATATAAAATCATGAATCATAAATTAAATAATTTAATTCAAAATCAAAAAATAAAAAAGAATACTCAATAAAAAAGCAAAATTTAATAAGACTCAATATCTTTTATGAATTAATAATTGTCAATTTTTTTAGTAGAATATGAAAACTAGAAAGATAGTAACAAGAAATTTGTCTTATGTTTAGTATTTATTTCACCAAGAAATCATTTGGATAATTGACGCTTTCCAAGCATGTTTCAAAAGTCGATTTTGTCAAATTTGCCAATTTCTTTTCCTTTTATCTCCTTCAAGCAAAACATGAATTTCACATAATTGCACAATTTCTTAAAGGCAATTATGCCTCTAGGATACAACAAAGTCTCAACTCTCCAATCAAAAGTAATAAAAATGGTTATACTAAAAGATCTATTTTATAATGAATGAACAGACAATTTTTATTCAAATAGTTATGACCATTTTTACAATCATGACTTATATGATCAATCATCTATATATATATTCAAATAATTATAATCATTTTTCATATAAACCATATTCTAAACTACCAACATGTTTTCATTGTAAAACGAGGAAGCATTACTATGCAAAATGATGTGACTCCAACAAGTTCAACATCTTCAGATATATTCCCATCACCAAAAAGATCTTTTACTGAACTTGCTAATTATAGGCATGACCCATGAGTAGAATTGATTAAGACTAGCATGATACCCATGTATTGTCAAGAGTCAAAATTGTTTTGTTTTGCTATCTCTATTTATTAGTTTTATATTTAAAATTTTATTTAATTTAAAAAACTAAAAAAGAAGATGAAAGACAAAAAGCCAAATGAAGGTGATGTGTGGATATCTCAATTGACCTTTTTTTTTCACAAAATTTATCTAATTAGAAAAATAAAAACCAAAAATATCAAAAAAATTAAAAAGGAAAAAGCAAATAAAAAGAGTTAATAGAGGTCACCACATGGACATCCCATTAAACTTAAAATATTAATTTTATAAATTAAGATATCAAATAATAATTTTATTAAAATAATATATAATAAATTTAATAATATAATATACTAGAGCCATGCTCGCCCTACTCGATAAGGCTATATGTAAAGATGGATTTAGACAAGTATAAACCAATAATGTCAAGTGTTTATTTTTGGCTTTGGTTTATTGTCACATTATAATCTGATTAGAAACTATTTCTATTAAAGATAAAAGATTTTGAATCATGGCAAAAAGTTACTTTTAAGAGAGCAATGTATAACAAAAGAAATGTTAGGTTAAGTATAAACTAAATATGTCAGTGAAATAATAGGCGTGCTAACACCTTTAATTCTAAATATATCAAAACATAAAGTCAATAGCAATAATAGACATGGTCAATCAGTTGACTTTGTTTAAATCTTATAAGTTTTATTAATCGAAATAATAGAATTTCAAAAAGTTTCTAATCATAGTAATTATATTTTTCTACAATGTAGCATATATAGTATGTAGAGTAATTATAATCTCATAATTTAATCTTTGGCCATACATAAGATTGGCAAAATCATGTTGATGATGATAATGACAATGTGTGTGTATGTATAAATAATATAGTAAAATCATTGTGCACATGTTGACCCACCTTTTATCTCTTCTAAAGCCATATGTTTTTTTTTAATACTTTATGAATTCTTTTACTTTTTTAATTATTTTTTTTGTTATCTTTAGTATAAATCTTACTTATAAAATATGAGATAAGTAAGCAATAAAACCTCAAAGATAAATATAAAGACAAAACCTAACCTACCTTTGAAAACTCTTGAGAAATTAAATTGGCTAAATTTGAAAAATGCAAAGCATATTATATATTAGAAAAACAAAAATGCCTATTCTTGATGAAAATCTGAAGTATAATTCTAAGCCAACCCCATTTCATAGTAATAGTATAATTTTCTCTAGTAACCTTGATAGAGCAAACAACACACCAACACCTAGTAGGAGAAAAAAAAAGAGAAAATAAAATTGGAAATCGTATATATTTAGCTTCATGAGGTGTTCATTGAAATTTAAAATACTCATAAATTAGTTGACAACATAACAAATCACAACAAAGACCACCAATAATAAGCATACCTTTAAATGCATGCAAAAAAGGACTTGGAAACCAATTATTGGAATTTGCATGATGAGACTACCAATATCTTGTAGGCCACACATTATATCCCAATGCTAGTCTTACTTTGGAGTAACTTTTAAACCACTATTCTAGTCAAGATATCTAATAATTATGGTAGATGAATCAGTGTCTATTACGAGAGAATTTTTATGAACTGGAGATGAAAAGCAAATCTTTCATCAATATTACATGAAAAAATGTGTTAGCATTCATTACCTATTTCTAGTCACTAAACTCAAGCAGACTATCATGGTGCTATATCCTAGAACCATCAATAAATAATACTAAAAAACAAATCAATGAAATTAAAAGTAGTAATTAATCATGCATTTCACTAGAATTACACATTAATTATTAACATTGATTGGATTATAAAAATTTGATCATACGGGATTTTAACTACACTAATAGAGATTTTATGACACAATAAGAAAATGAATATTTAGCAATAGTCAAAATCATTACTAAATATCTATTTATTGTTGTTAAAATTATTTTGAAATGATTTTTTGTCGTTGTGGCGTCATTGCTATTAATCCCATTGTTTAAGAGTTAACATAACAATTTATAGTGTCATTGATAAAAATAAATATTATAACAACTTTTAGTTGTTGCCATATAAACCATATATTCATAACGATAAAATTTTTTGGTTGTCAAAATTTACATAACATTATTATTATGGTTGCAAAAAATTATTCGTAATAATATTTTTTTGGATATCAATTTTTTACATAACGATAAAATGTAGTTGTTAAAAAATTATTTTGCAATGACAAATAACATTGCATAAGCTTCATTTGGCAACCATATAATTTCGTTATTAAAACTATGACATAACAATATTATTTTTGTTACATAAAATATTTTGTAATGATAACACGACATTGTTTTAACTTTTTCAGCAACTATAGAATTTGGTTACAAATACTCTTACGTAACCATATGATTGTTGTTATATAACATATTTTGTAATGATTAAATATTGTTTGTTAAATTGCTTTTTAGCAACCATAAAAGTTTATTATAAAAACTCTTAAGTAACAATATTATTTTAGTTATATAACATATTTTGAAAAGATTAAATGTCATTTTAATTTCATTTTAGCAACTATAAAATTTGGTTATAAAAACTTTATTTGTAACAATATTATTTTGATTACATAAAATATTTTGTAACAATTAAATGTCATCATTTTAATTGCATTTTAACAACCAAAAATTTGGTTACAAAAACCTTTTTTGTAATAATATTATTTTTATGACCTTATTATTTGTTGCAATATTTTTCATATGTAGTTGCTAATAATGTTTTTTGTTACCAATCATAAAATAATTTAATTTATTATTTTATTCATAAATATAATAAAAAAATATTTACAATAAGTCATCTCACATTTACAACAAGTCTAGCCATTAGAAATGAATAAATTCATTGGTTACTTTATGCTTTGATATTGATTTTTTTTGATCATATACCCTAAAACATTGGGCCACCTTTACACCCCCTTTATCCCAACATTTCTTGGATTGAAGAAACATACTAGGCTATGACCTGTAGGTGGATTCAGTGATGACATGATCACTAAGGCTTTTAATGCTTTCCAAGCTTTATCATCTTGAGAGGTTTCGTCTTTATGGAAGAGCCCCGCTAGAATGCCCCTTAGGAAAGGAAAACCATACCTCAATGAGTTCATACCAAGCTTAATACCATTGCCATTACCCTTAAGTAACTGCAAATACTCTATCTCTTGATTTTTTTTATGATAGTTTCTTTGAAAAATGCAACCTGCAAGATCAATAGAAGATCAAATGCTAAATGACATATTAAATGGTCTAAAAAGGTTAAAATCTTCTTCAAGAAAGATACAATTCTAGCAAGAATCTTAAGCTATAGCCAAAGCGAGATTTCCTCCTAACCAAAGTGATTACATCTTATCTAGGGCTAAGGCAGAGAAACCCTAAATATCTCCTCAAATTAAAAAAGAATAAAATTTTTGTAAATAGGTAGGTTCATGTATATGTTTGGCAAAATAAAGGACGATAGAAAGTTAAAAATGCAAACTAGATGATGGTGCTATAAGGATGCCAATTGATAGGCTCATTAATGAAAGTGACATTTTCATGATCCAATTTTAGATTGTAACTTTGTGGTTTGTCCATTGCCATAGAAATAGAATAATAAAGGTAGTAACAATTTTTGCTTAAGTACAAAACCACAGTCAAATTGAACATAAGTTGCTAATTCAAGTAACCTAAGGTGATTCAAAGAAAGTAAATAATTGGTGAACCTTAACATTCAATGAATGAATAAATGATCAAAAAGCAACTATAAAATGTTGATAAGAGTTTGATAAAGACCATACATGAAAAAACAAACTTTTCATGTAGAAGTAATAAAACACAAAAATTTAAAGAGTACTTAAGTCCATAATAAGATAATTTGTCTTTCTCTGCCAATCAATATCACCTACACCAACAAGTAAAAATCCAATCACGATGTCCTAACCAAATAAATTATAAATCAGATAAGTCAAATCAAATGCATTGCAAATCATATGTAATGACATTAACTATCATATTAACAACATTTTCCAACATTTTACACTTATCAAATCATGCCATTAACATGCTCTTATTCTTGCTATGGTCTATTAACAAAATGAAGAAACATGGTAAATGCCCAAATAAACAAGTTTTAGGGGAATTCATAAAACTATATAGCAATGAGTAAACTTTTCCTTTAACATGCCACAATCATTTAGAGAATGCAAAACATGCCACGAAATTCATGGTGTTATGATCATTCATTATAAAGCAAATCGAAATGGTATCCACTTTTCACCATTATAAAAAACAACAAACAAACTAATTTGAGTTTTCACTTGGCTAGTGTCGTATTAGTAAGTCGAAGCAATATGCATCAAATTTATGAAAGTATTTTCTATCAATTCACGCAATAGATGCTTCAATTAGTTAATTTAACTAATTTTTTTTTAAAACCCCCAAATTAAATCTTTACCTAAACTTCTTATATCTAATTGACATAAAAATTTAGATGATGCAAAGCTAATTCAAGAATAATGATGATAAATTTATAGGGGAGAATGCAATAAAATGACATAAAAACATCAAAAGTAGCAAAAATTCATGCATTGATTTAGGTAAATTTAAAAGTAATACTCACCTCGTCGGCAATTAGTGTAATAAGAGCTAAGTTGCTAGCGAGGATTTGAGCTCTGTAAGCCATTGATAAAATTTTCAACTAAAAAACTCACAATAACAAAAAAAAAAAAAAAATCAAGGACGGGCATGTAAAGATGGCTTTAAAGCTACAGCCTCCTATTTTAGATTTTGGAAATAATATGATAAGACAAAGAAATCTATCTTTCTTATATGGATTGCATGTTCCTACTTTCAGCATTCTATTTGAAAATTTTCGTGAATTTGCTGAAACCGATTAGATTCTAATGAAACTTTACCAAATGACACTGATACACTAATTTTGAGTAAAGAAACATTACCCATT